TTGATGACATAATGTTGTTAACATTAAACGTTGTTTATTTCCACATGCTGGTGATTGATCAAGTAATTGTTCAAAATAATGAATTTTATTCTGACTAGATGATATAAATTGAATTAATAATAAATATGCATCTAATGAAAGTGTTGATAATGGTGATGGTGATGGTGTTCGTGGTATTTGGGTATATAGATATAGATTACATGAAGAATTTGATTCAAGAAAATATTTTATTTGTTGACGTTTACGTGGAGGAAGTGATGATATTGGAAGAAGATCAATACATGTATTAGATGGTGAACTAAAAATGAAAATAATTAATTAAAAAGAAAACAAGAAGAGAAACTATCGAACTTGATTCGATTTTGTAAAATTTGTTGATTATTTTGATTGATTGGTGTTGAAAATTTTTTACTAATTATTCCATTTTTTTGATATGATGAAAATTGATTAGTTTTAACTTGATTTTTTTCTTTACGCATTTGTATTATTAAATCTCGACATTGAGAAAATTGTGGTGAATTACGTAGACAATAAGGATAATTTGAATCTTTTAAATATCTTTGAATACTTAAATAATATGAACGAAGTGTTTCAGGATCATATTTTGAACCTTTACGTGTACGTATTGATGTTAAATAATCTATTAAATATTTACGCATTGTATCTGGATCAATATCAATAAGTGATGTTGATAATAAATTATAATTACGTTTTAAAAATTTACGAAAACGACGTACATCTTGACGTGTTTTTAATTTTGTATTACCAAGACTACGACGTAATGGTGTATTCATATCATCATATAAAGGTACACAAAACTAAAAATCAAGAAAAATATTATTACATAATAGTTTGTCTGGAACAGACTGACATTATTTATTAATCGGATTTTATTTTACATTAGAGCAAAAGACGTCATTTTAAATATAATTTATATAATCTTTTAGAAAAGAAATTTTAATATCTAGCTCATTATTAAACGTATTTTTTCTCATATCAAATAACAGAATTTGATATATTTTGATTTTCTCTATCAAGTATTTATATAACTCTTCTAATACTAATAGAAAGAAAAACAACAAAAAACATCTGCTATCTTTGTACTTATATTTTAATAACTGAAATTCGAAACTTTAAAAGTCAATAGCATTTTCTTTTGATATAAATATATACTATTTTTAGTAATGAAAAAAAAAGAAATAGTGCAAAGTTCATGACATAGTTTTCTTTTTAACTAGTCGTATTATGATTTTGAGCTAACAGGTTTTATCTATGTCTGATCTTATTTTTCCTTCTAGTCAATTAAGAAAACAATCCTTCGTTTTCTATATAATAAATACTGAGATAGATTAAAGAGAAAAAAAGAAATTTATTATATATTCCTTTTTTTATATCGGTTGATAAAATAACCGGATATTAATATCATAGGGAGTGATAATGAATATTCATTAGAAATTTATTATTCAAAAAGTTAATCAAAATAAATAAAAGTCTCTTAAACGTTCTATACTAAAAATATCTAATCCGATCATACAGGTAAACTTAATGATATCTGACTCATCCTTGATACTAAATTATGTAATCAGATTATAAAATAAGAAAAGCAGTCCTTGGAAATAATCAAGATTTATTACAACAAACATTAATACTTTCAATTTCGTATTTAATAAACATGAATATTTGCATTATACTTTTAATTTGTTTCGTACTACAAAAATATCTCAAAACAATATTCATAAGAAATTTAAATAATAGATAAAGATTTATTGCACGAACGATTATTTATCGTTCATCTATAATCTTCGTGCATGACTTCATTAATAATTTGCATTTCTAAACAATAATTTCCTATATTCATTAATTATGATTTTTTTTATTGGAAAACACAAAAACAAAATATTTCAAATAGTATCTATAACCCTTCAAGTGTATGTTGTCTTTTGTAATGCTAATAAAAGCAGAAGAAGAAGAAGAAGGAGAAAAAAATCCTATGTGCGTCATCATCTTATCAATGCGATTATCATCTAGTCTAATATAACACTCGGAAGATGTCTATAAAATGAATGTCAGTATTTTTAGAAATATTTTACCTCGTCAATTTTAATTTCTAATGAATTGGATTGATTAGATATTTGTCCAAGATTTGCTGGAACTAATTTAATTCGTTCATTTGTTTGATATAATGATATAGATTCATCTAATGAATCTTTACTTGTTGAAGATGATGATGGTGGAGTTTCAATTGTATAAAAGTCAGACATAGTTGAATTTTTTATATCTATATAAATCTATATTAAATAAGAAAAAAGAGAAAGTCTCATTTATTCGTAACTAATTTATATAAAAGTTATGCGCATATATAATAATTATAAAAATAGGTTTTCTTTTGTTCTTTAACAAATTGTATAGACAAACAAAAACCAGATGATATTAATAGGCAAGCCAAAAAGAATGACGACAAATGGGCTTTTTTTTATACCGTGTGTGCGTGTGTGAATAAGTATCTTTTTGTGTA